GTTCCAGGTATATCACTAACATCCTCAATGGTCAAAACGCCCTTGATAACATTATCTAGTATTTGCTCAAGATATAGAATACACCCATTACTTTTGACATGGAGTAAATTAAATTGCTCAGCTGTATTGCGTGTCAAGTGTTTTCTCAGGTCAGGCTCAGCATCTAGCCTGTCTAAAATGTACTGCTGTACATCTTTCACAACATACGATTTCTTTAAATCGTCTAAAGTGATCTTTCTCAAACCAGAAAACATTTTCATGACATCTCTAGACTGTCGTCGAGCGGTGATTATTAAACGTAGCCATGGGGGTAGCAAGCTCTGCTGTAGAGCGATAACGAATAAACTACAAATGGTAATAACATCAGTGTCTTGGCTCCCACCTTTAGATAATGATTCATCAATGGAATCAACAACCAAAAGCAATTTCTGATTTTCCACTACCAGTGACTTGAGCGGATCAATAATTATTTTCTTAAAAATATTCATAAGATCTTCATTTCTGTGTTCTTTCTTCAGGATATCTTGTATGTCACCCGAATTATACCGTTGTTTATAATTTGCTAGTTTTTCATGTTTACACAACTGTAACGCAATGTCTCGTATAAAATGATCAACATCTAAAGACTCTTGATTGTCACCCTCGCAAAAATGATACGCTATTATGTTCTTAGACAATTCGCTTTGGATGCTATCACCTTCATTTGGATGAAGCAATTGCAATAATACTGAAGTCTTACCAGAACCTGCTTGACCAAGTATAGCTACACCTCTATACTTTGGATCATCCAAATTTTTGTCTTTCTTCATCGTGTCTTGAATCTTTTCGAAGAGCCATTGGCGACCATAAAATTTCCTCTTCATTTTTTTCATTAACACCCATGAACTCCCGCCGTTGAATATGGATTGAGGTACAGCGTGCAGGAGTGACTGACTCGTACACCAAGAATACGAGACCCGATTAGATTATTCCCTGCTCACAACAAGGTATCCAATATCTACAAAATATCTTGACATTCGAAACTATGGAAATTTTAATAAACGACACTTATTAATCATTTGTAAAAGGAATAATTCGTAGTATTATCCTAGTAGAATAATTCGTTTGCTTCGCCTTAAAATGTGTTGACTGAATGTTGAACCCATATCACTACCGTGCGTCCGGTCTTCATGCTGATTGGTCAAACCGCGGTAAATAACACGCGTTATTTGAATTTTTTACATGTTTCTTTTCTAACACAGGCAAAGCAAATTTCACTCACATCATTTCCATACAAAATCTATAGGTTGTAAGCCAAGAAGCAATTGCCGCAATGCAACTTAATTAAAAAAAAAGAGGAAGTTAATGTGCTAAATACTTACGAGTAAATATCACCAGCACCCCCCCCCTGGAAGAACGTGAAACAACCACAACTAATTACTAGTGTCTAGTCTCCGGAGATTTGAAAAAGTGAGAGGATGGCATTCCAATCAACCAAGTTTATGAATCCCTTGCCAAGATTATTTGATCACGATTGGTTTTCTCTAGATGAAAGGCTTGACGATGATGCTTTATTGGCACAAGAAGAAGATGAATACAAATTTATGGTACATACAACGACGTCCTCATCGTATTTCAATTTTTATGTAAAACTGCATGGATGGGCTGCCTTCATGGGCAAGCTACTGTACATTGTGTGGTTTGCCATTGTATGAATGCAAGTACAGAGCATCTTTATAACTAGGTCTACACTCTGCAGAGAGGCTCAGCAGTATAAATTTTTAGGAACCCTTTAAAGATTGGCCTCAGCATGCAGTACTGTGTTAATCTGTAATTGGGGGTTTTCAGATTGGAGGGATTAGAGGGTTGTGCATATTCATACATTTGTTTTATGGCTGACTGACGTATTTGGAAAGTAATTGTTCCTACAGTATGCAAACATCCATATATTTCTATCAATTTTAATAACAGTATCAAATAAGAGAGAGAAGTTTATATTTGTAACAAAATTGCATAATTATAATTTTTCTATTTGAATGCTAGATGAAAGAAATTGCTGATAAAGGTTATGATCTTCTTTCAATTGGAGAAACTAAAGAAGCATCTGAGGTCTTAATTAAGTGAACTATGTACAGCAAGTGCTTCCACAATTTGTAATTGTTCATATGCTATAGTATGCATATGTTTGGCATTGTTGAAGTCTAAATGATAGAGTTTGTTTAATATGACAAAGTGGTGTCTTTTCGTTGTACAAATATACATTTTTACATACACTCCATTTTTTTGTTCTAGGTTGCAGAAGAAGAAATAGAGGATGGTGAAGATGAAGAATCAGCTGGAGTACTTGATGATGAAACTGATGAATATGATGGAACAAGTCCTGAGCCTGGGGGAGCAGTTCTAAATCCTGGCCAAGAAGTATTTGAGCATTTTGTTATAGTCAATTTCATCAGTTTTTCGCACCTAACTTGCAGCAACACTTGAATATGTTTATTTTTGAAGGTTGAGATGGAAGAGGATACTGACGCCAATCGCAGTGAACAAGAATCTGCACCTGCATGGATTTAAATTAGGATATTAACTCCCAGACTTATGACAATCGAAAAGGCTAGTTCTGTTTTCAAGAATACATCAACAAATACAACTTTTTGGCAATGTTACTACAAAAATACACATACAAGCAACAAAGTAACACTATCTGGTAGCACATCTTGCAATAAAGCACAATTTTAAATTCAAAGGAGTTGAATAGCAATGCTCTAATGGTTGTGTATTTCTAAAAAATATAGGGTTTCAAAATTTTTATAGTACCCAAATATAGGATGTTATCACTTATTTTGACTTATGGTAAATCTGCTGCTGATAACATGTAAATATTAATTTTATTTATTTACGAAATAAGTCTTGTATATTAATTAAATGAGAATATATATGCAGAGGAAGTGCTCTCAATTTTTGAAATGTTTAAGACTTGTTTCACATAAATAAGAATTGTTCCAAAGTTTGTACACATCTAGGTAAGCATGAAAAGTTCAGACAAATTTTGCAGCAGTCACCTTGCTTGCAATAGTGTCCTTAGGAATAACCTTATTTATAGAAACAGAGTATGTAATCAAGACTAAAAAGGATCTTTCATATCTATTAAAAAGAGCATAGACCTAGCTTTTATAGGACTTTTGCAGTATAACTACCCAAGCCAAGGGCTGTATTTATAAAAAACATGTACATGGTACCCCAATAAAAAAGCTAATGAAATCACCCAATAACAATGCAATAGTTGGAGTTTGAATGACTAAAGCACACTGTGGGGACCAAAAAGTGAATAAATCCATGTTTGCATATGGCAATAAAAACATTTGTATGCATATGACAGTAAAATTTGTTAGTACCCACAAATCAATTTTTTTTTACAAATATTTACACTTTACAAATGTGGATAGAAATTTACAACTGAAGCATGGGCTGCATAGCACCTTCAACATCCCCCCTTTCTCTAGCCTGGCCATTGTCAGCTCAAATTGAAATTAAATTTCACTTCTTTAGCACAATTTTTCAAAATTGCAAGTCACCTAAAACATTAAGTGCACTTGGTCAATATGCTCGTCCGTAATCAGTGATCACCATCTTAGGCAACTCATTTCACGAGAATCTCGTTTCGTATTCTTTTAGAGAATTGTTGGCTCTTAAAAGAGCCGTTGTTTTTTTTTGGTTGCTATTAAAACAATTTTTAATATTCTTGACTCTGCGAGTTCACTTTTTTGGTGGTTGGAGCAGCGCTACCGGACTTCTTGGGCAACAGAACAGCTTGGATGTTGGGTAGGACACCACCCTGTGCGATCGTCACACCAGAGAGCAATTTGTTCAGTTCTTCATCGTTTCTCACAGCCAGTTGTAAATGGCGAGGGATGATTCGGGACTTCTTGTTATCCCGAGCAGCATTCCCGGCCAACTCAAGGATTTCAGCCGAAAGATATTCAAGAACCGCTGCCAAATACACCGGAGCACCAGCACCAACACGCTGCGCATAATTTCCCTTTCGTAGCAAACGATGGATACGACCAACTGGAAATTGCAACCCAGCACGGCTGGATCGTGACTTGGCCTTTGATTTAGCTTTTCCTTTACCGCGTCCGGACATACTTTTCACTTTTGAATATTCTTGCTGTTGTTTTACTTGTTTGTCACTAGGCGAAATTCGAAATTGAATTGTAATTTGTAAATTTTCTTCAAGGTTTTATTCTTAGCGCCGGATCAAAGATAGCCAATCATTACCCTGCATGATAGATTTACTATCTACGCAGACGTCCGCTAAGAACTCTGACCAATCAAATCCTTCACC